GTAGTGATCAGGGAGGGATTCGGGACGTGACTCAGACTCTACGGCAAGCATTCAATCTGAAGGAAATGGGGGAGGTCTCCTATTTTCTCGGTTTGGAGGTTAGTCGATCACCTCAAGGCCTATTTGTTAGCCAGCGCAAGTATATTTTGGATCTTTTGGAGTCGGCTCAGTTTACAGATTGTGTTCCGTGTTCTACACCTATGGAACAGAATCTTAAATTGAGCAGGGATGGGGGAGAACAACTGGAAGATCAGTCATTGTATCGTAGTCTTGTTGGCAGCCTTATTTACTTAACTCATACACGCCCTGACATTGCATATGCGGTGCAGGTCGTAAGTCAGTTTATGGGGATAGCAACTAATCTACATTTAGCGGCTGTTCGTCGTCTCTTGAGGTACCTAAAGCAGACGCAAGATGTAGGATTATATTTTCCGGCAACAGGCGACCCTGTGGTAGAGGCTTTTGCTGATGCAGATTATGCAGGTTGTATGGATACTCGACGGTCGACATCTGGCTGGTGTATCCGCATTGGGCAATCTTTTGTTTCCTGGAGGTGTAAGAAACAGGATCGAGTCTTGAAGTCGTCAACAGAAGCAGAGTACCAGTCTATGTCTGAGGTGAGTTCTGAAATGGTATGGCTTCATCGATTACTTGGAGAATTGGGTGTTGCTTGTCGAGTCCCAATGAGAATATATGGGGATAACACGAGTGCAATCCAGATTGCTGTTAATCCGGTGCTGCATGATAGAACTAAGCACATCGAGGTGCATGTTCATTATATTAGACAATTAGTGGCTGAAGGAGTTATTCACAGTGCTGTGAAAACCGAGCCGAGCCGGCCGAGCCGCCAAAACCGCCAATCGGGCACAAAACCGGCTCGGATGAGCTATTTAGCCGGACTGGTTCTTTGGGGCGGCCGGCGAGCGGCCGAAGCGGTTAACCGCTCGAACCGCTCGAGCCGGTCGTCCGGTTTTTTACATTCGACCGGTTGGTTTAATTAAAAAAAAAGTTCAAAAATTAAAGGGGGTCGGGGTCGGGCTGTTCTAAGCAGAACCCTAATTTTTTTCATTCTTCTTCGTGGAGACAAGGAAGCGCCGCTTCCGACTCCAAATTCGTCTCCATTGCCGCCGTTCCCCGTCTCCATTGCCGCCGTTCCTCCTCGTCGCCGTTCCCCGTCTCCATCGTCGTCCTCCCCGTCGTCGTCGCCATCGCCATCTTCCCCAACGCCGTTCCTCCTCGTCGCCATCGCCATCTTCCCCAGCGCCGTCTCCATCGTCGTCTTCCCCGTCGCCGTCCTTCTCGTCGCCGTTCCTTCTCGTTCTCGCTGCCGAGGAGGAAGACGTTAGAAGAAGGTAGCTAGCTCCTTCTCGTTCTCACCTGCCCGCCGATTCCCCATCCGATTCCCCATCGCTGCCGAGGTAAAATGGACAGTAATTGGCATTTTCACTAATTTAATTAGCAATTAGTAGAAGAAGGTAGCTAGCTACCTATCTAGGGTTGAGCTATAAATTACTTACAAAATCCCAGAGGTAAGTGAAGGAAACGTTAATCTCATTTTATTTGCTGATTTGGAATGCGGTGACTGCCATTTTCCTTCAATCAGTTGCTGAGTGCTAGCAAACTGTGGATCCCTTAAGTGCATTTTTGTTAATCTAGCTTATGTTGCTCACTGAGACTTAAAGAAGTTTGTTTCTGTACTGATGTTCTAGAATGTGGTGGTTTGGAATTGAATTTTAGATCTTTCAGTACTGATGTTCTAGAATGGTTTAAGAGAGTAATTTACTTGTGGTTTACCATGATTAAGAAGTGTCTACTATTATAGATGACTGTTTATTAGGTACCGGTTCTCAAACGGTTTTTAAACGGTCTAATGCCGGCTGGACCACTAATAACCGAGCCGTTCACGTTACCGGGTCATACTCCGGCTCGGCTTTGACAGCATTGGTTATTCAGATTGGGTATCTCTCAACTGAAGATCAGACTGCAGATTTGCTTACGAAGGCGGTTGCTTCAAGTAGGCATTGGTACCTGTCTTCCAAATTGATGTTGCGTACCGCACATCAATTTGAGGGAGGGTGTTGATTTGTATTGTTGAGGTACCATTATGTAATTAGCCACTAAATTGTCTAGGTTTATGTTTCCCCTATATTAAGCCGATCACCGCTAAACCCTTGTACTGAAGTCATATTGTTTATAGTGAAGCTTTTGGAGAGGACAGTCTCTCCCGTGGATTAGTCCTGAGATTCAGGGATACCACGTTAAAATCGTGTGTCGTTCTTCTAGTTTCGTACTATTTGACAAAATGCTCTATGAGCGCTCTAACCCGTAAGCAAACACCCATAAATGAGAGCTTGATAACGCCAATTTAGGTTTTATCAACGAGTAGCACAAACTCATCTAAAAAACCAAGGTAACATGGTATTATGGTATGATGCTGTCATGCCAAGGTACTCGGTTAATATTCTTGGGAATCATGAATGTCCAGGAACATTGAGAAGATGTGGTATAATTTCCTATGTGGAAAGAACTGAATTTCGCGGTTTAGCATGCTAACATTGCTTGTGGTTTTAGGATGTATTCTGGCGAAGGATCGAATAAATGTTTGTGGTAAGGTGGTAGATGGATCTTGTGTAATGTATAGAGGTGTGGTTTTAGGTGGGGTGGAAATTGGGGTGGGTGTGGTTACCCACCCCACAATTTGCGGGTAATCACACCCACAAAATATAGAATTATGCTACCTACAATCCGTCCCGTGGTGGGTAGTGGTTAACCACTATCCGCTGCGGGTTGGTGCGGGTTGGTTGTGGATACCCACAAAAATTTTATCATTAAATAAAATAATATGGTAATTAAATAGTGAAGTTGCGTTTCTTCTCACACAAAAACATACATAAAAGAAAGTTAATAAAGTGTTAAATAAATTATAAATCTCGAATACAAGAGGTTAGTTAGTGTAAATTCAGAAGAGATGTATTTGGAAAAAGATTTGAAGATAGCGGTTGCATGTCACCAGACAAACATCGTTGCATGTCACGGCTCCTCCGATGCAACAACAACAAAACAAAATAGTGGCTTCATAAGTGGATGCACCTGCTTTTAATGAATTGATTATTCTCCACTCTCGATTATAGTCTTGTATTGTTGGTAGCTAGTTGCATGTTGTGTTGTTCGTGAGTTCATGGAGAAATGGCCACGAGTTTGTATGGACTTGGTTTTGTTTTATAGAATAAGTATGTATTTGATTTTCGTAGTTACCTTAATTCTTAGTCTTCCAAGTTTCACAAACTAATATAAATAATGTGGTTAATGTGAGTAAACCGTTGTGGGTAGTGGTTAACCACTAACCACAATATATATATATATATATATATATATATATATATATATAGTGGCGTCTTCAGTGCACTCACTTTTTTGGGTGCATTCAGTGCACCCGCTTCGTAACCGTCATTTTAAACATGCGATTTATGTCAAAATGATGTCAATCATCACTTATGATGTGATGAACAATAACGCACATGAATTTGCACAAAAACCATTAAGATTTACTTTGATTGGAAGGATTTAGAGTTTAGAGATTTAGGGTTAGAGTTAGGGTTAATAATTTGGGATTTAGGGATAGTGATAGACCGTTAGTTACACATGCTTTTACCCCTGCTCTTACTCTGTTTGAGGTATTGATTCTCGTGTTTTAGGCCGATTTCACGCTAGGTGGTGCTTGTTTATGATATTTCAGGTCCTAGTACGTGAATGGAGGCTTGGGAGCGAGTTTGATGTCGATTGGACGCGGATCGGACGCATGGCGAGATTCCAAGGAGGCTGCACGGCCAGACCAGGGAGTCGCACGGCCGTGCAGTATACAATTATGGCCGTGCGACATTATGCGAGAAGACGCACGGGCAGAGCAGAAAACCCGCACGGCCGTGCATGTAACCAGTCTGGCCGTGCGGGATTGTGCGAGAGCTTGCACGGGCACAAGTGAAATCCGCACGGCCGTGCGAAGTGCAATCCTGGCCGTGCGAGAAGCCCGAGGTTCAACTTATTGATACGCCGCGTTTTGAGGTGCACGGCCAGAATGGTGAGGTGCACGGCCGTGCACCCTGGCCGTGCGAGTCGGGATTTTCTCCTTTTAAGCAGAATTTCAGCCACAATTCGGGGGGATTCGAGTTTTTGAGAGAGAGATCAGTTCCTAGAGAGAGAAAGTGACGAGCAAGAGTTCCCAAGTGCCCTAGATTGATCTTCAACACCATTGGAGGCCAGCTTGAGCTTGGAGAAGTGCCAATCAACGTCCAGAAGCAGGAATCCATCCTTTGCAGTATGAATTCCGTGTCTGATTCTGCTTTTGCTTTCTTCTCCATGGAGTAGTTCTCCCATTCATCTGGGTATGGAGAACCCTAGATTTGTATGTTAGGCTTTGATTGTATGAACCCAAGTACTGATTCTGTGATTGATTATATTCGATTGAGGTTTTAATGATTGAATGACTTGAATCCTGATCAAATTCCTGTTGTTTCTGCTTTAACCTAGAATGAGAATATCTGCCTAGGTTAATAGAGTATCCTTGATTGAAGGTAGGGAGTTGGTGACTTTAGTCGAGGAGCCAACTCACTATTCTGTACCGGATTTACTCCGGTAGTGGAGGTTTTGTTCTTAGGGCCTCAATCTGTCGACTCCGGTGGAGGTTAGTCGCCCGCTAGAGAGTCAGATTGAGAGGGTCTGAAGACCTTTAGTCAAGACTTCAGGCTGTTTAAGAACCTTCCGCAGTATAACTGTCATAGAAACTGAACTTGGTAATTACAATCCGGCTTAACTGCAGTCTAGGGGGAACCATATCCGGGTGACCTCTTTAACCTGAATACAACCAGTTTACTTGCTTTGTTTGTTTGGTAGTTTAGACTTGCACTCCAGTTTTATTGCTAGATAACAAGAAATCACTGAGTAGTCAGCAAATCTAGGACCCGGGTTGACATATAAACCTAAACCCGCTATACTACGCTTTAGGGAGTGGTTGCACTTGGCCAGTTCCTAGGGTGACAGTAGAGTCGAGTCAAGTTTTTGGCGCCGTTGCCGGGGACGGCTAGGTTGTTGAAGAAAAGTGATTTCTGTTAATTTAGCTTTTCTTTTTGCTTTGTTTTCTTTGTCCCACTTGTGCCTTCACGGGTTTGTTGCTTGAGTGTGTGCAGGTAGTGCATGACCCGTAGCCAGTCGGGAGGTTTACTGCCGTTGAATCCAGAGATTGACCGCACCTGTCGCCAGCTCAGGAGACAACAGCGAGCTAGACTGGCTACGGAAGAGCGCATAGACGGCCACCTGAGCAGCGATTCTGAAGAAGAGCACGGAATGGACGGAGACTACAATCAGCACCAGGGGAATCCCCCGGTGAATCAGGTCCTGGGGAACAACCCCATACCCCAGGATCATGGAGCTCATCATCCACCGCAGCCGGGTCCCACCTTGGAGTACTATTACACTCCTCGGATTGCTGACATCCGCCCGGTCATCCTCTACCCGCCGATCCCAGCAAACAACTTCGAGATCAAGCCATGCTGGATTCAGCTCATCACATCTTCTATCCAGTTCCATGGCTTGAAGGATGAGGAGGCCAGGGTGCACTTGTCCCGTTTTCTGCAGCTGACGAACGGGTTCAAGCTGAATGGTGTCCCGGATGATGCGATCCGCCTTCATCTCTTCCCCCATTCTCTGGCGGGGAATGCCAAGAGGTGGTTGGAGACCCAGCCACCATTGTCCATCACCTCTTGGGACGATCTGGCAGACAAGTTCGTGCACAGGTACTACCCTGCATCGAAGACTACAGAGATTCAGCGGGAGATCACTCACTTCCGCCAGGAGCCAGATGAGTCACTTCGTGATGCATGGGAGCGGTACATGGGATACTTCTGGCAGTGTCCCCATCATGGCTTCAGCGATGCTTTCACGGTAGGGAACTTCTACAGCGCTCTCTCCCCAGATAGCCAGAGGGTGATTGAATCTCTATGCCCAGGAGGGGATATTCTCACTAAGACTCCACCCGAGCTGAACCAGATGATTAATACATTAGCTGCCAGAGATCATTCCTGGGGGCAGAGCAGCAGAGGCAGGCATTCCCGGGACCGTGGTGTGCATGCCATGGAGACCAGATCCGGGTTAGAGCAGCAGGTGGCTGAGTTGGTGCAGACATTGAAGCAGCCCAACAGTCTCCTACCGGGCCGAGGTGTAACTCCGCCTCCAGTCGCTCAGTGTCAGTGGTGTGAGAGCCCAAACCACCTGGTGGAAGATTGTCAGTCTATGAGGGAGTCTTCTACTCCCCAAGAGCAGGTGGACTTCATAGCAAATGCTCGGCGCCTGGATCCATACAGCAGTACCTATAATGAGGGATGGCGCCAGCATCCCAACTTTGCCTGGAGCAGCAACGCCAACAAGCCACCTGGTTTCCCAGCACCAGCAGGTGGTCTCCAGCAGAGGCAGCCCTTCCAGGCTAGGCAGGGGCTACCACCACAGCAGCAGCCTTACCAGCCTAGGCAAGGGCAGCCATTCCAGCAGCCTCAGCGTCAGTACGCCGAACCAGCAGCAGCACCAGCTCCCGATAATCAGATGACCGAGCTGAAGAACATTTTGGCAGCATTCATGACCACCACCCAGGCAAGTATCACGAGGATGGATCAGACCATAGCTTCACTGGAGGCAGGCCAGAGAACCCTGGAGGCAGGCCAGAGAAACCAAGGTGCCATTCTGCAGGATCTCCAGCACCAGATAGGGAGCTTAGCTCGCCAGAACACTACAAGGGCACCGGGGACTCTGCCTGCCACCACTGTCCCGAATCCTCGAGATCCTCACCAGCATCAGCAGCTGGATGCCATTTTTACCAGGAGCGGTAAGGTGATATCTGCTGATCCTGCCCCGGCCAGACAGGAGGAACCACTACCTGCTTCAGCACTTCCAGCCGACGATGCAGAAGTGCGGGTGGAGAAGGAAGCCCCTGCTCCCAAGCCACAACCAGTGGTTAAGGAGCATGTGCCCCAGCTTCCCTTCCCCACTCGCCTACACAAGGACAAGCTGGAGACTGAGTTTGCCAAGTTCATGGCAATGTTGAAGCAGCTCAACATCAGCATACCGTTCATGGAGGCACTGTCAAAGATGCCCAAGTATGCCAAGTTCATGAAAGATATCTGCACCAACAAGAAGAAACTTGGGGATCTTTCGACAGTGATGCTCAGTGAAGAGTGTTCTGCTATCCTACAGAACAAGCTGCCCGAGAAGCGCAAGGATCCAGGGAGTTTTACTATCCCTCTTACTATTGGCAGCATGCATGTAGGCAAGTCCTTGGCGGACCTAGGCGCTAGCATTAACGTCATGCCATATAAGTTGTATAAAATGCTAGACCTAGGTGAACTTAGCCCCACTAGGATGAGCATTCAATTAGCTGATCGTTCTGTTGTGCATCCTAGGGGAATCATAGAGGATCTGCTTGTTGGTGTTGGTGCATTCACATATCCTGTTGATTTTGTTATTCTTGATATACATGAGGATGTGGATGTGCCGTTGATTCTAGGTAGGCCATTTCTTGCCACCGCCAAGGCACTAATTGATGTGCATGATGGTAAGTTGATCTTGCGTGCTGGGGATGAACAGGCTACTTTTTCTGTGACTGAGTTTGATCACTGTGCTATGATTGATGTCACGCCTGTGCATGCTATGTCTGATCAGGTACACGAGCCTGTCGTGTATCCTGCTGCTCCTCGCATTTTGCAGGACCCTCCTATCACTCCTTCGCCGCCACTCCATCCAGCCACGCCTCTGAACAAAAAGCTCAAGGAGGAGAGGCGGCCGAAGCCGCAGGTTGCTAAGCCTGCACGTAAGAAGAGTGGAGACCACTATGAGCTGGTCCCACCTCCTGCACCACGACCACCGTGGCCGTCCGGGTACTCACTCGCCTGCATCTTGCCAGATGGGCAGGTCGAGCTGACCGATGATGGTGGTCGCATCCGTCGGGTGCATGGCCACAACCTGAAGCTGTACCTCAAGAGCGACGTGGATCCGCTCTTGGGGGCACCTGTTCCTGCACCGCCCTGAGTATCCACCATGGGCGTCCAGCTAATACGACGGTAAAGAAGCGCTTCTGGGGAGGCAACCCCACCACGGTTTGTTTTTCTTTCTTGAGTTTTGAGTCGGTTTGTAGACCCGGTTTGGGTTTGGTCTGTTTCTTTTGGTTTGGATGATATTTTATTGGGCTGACCATCGGACCTAACATACTGTGTTTGAGCTCTGTGTTTTCCTTTGGCTGTGCTTGCCCCGACTGGCCCGCCTCCAGTCTCCTGCAGTCCGTGCATACCGGTAACATCTTTCCCTTATCCTTCCCTCTTCTCCATTGAGGGCAATGTCGATCTTAAGTGTGGGGGGGTGTTTATCTTTGACTGCATTAGATCTGTTTGTGTGCTTGGAGCCTAGTCCACTGTCCAAATTTTTAAATTTGAGGGCTCCAAGTAAGTGTTTCCGTGCAATTGCCTGCTCAGTATGCTTTGAATTGACAGTCTTTATGGTAATATGCAACCTAGGGAGGTAGTGTAGCACTATGGAGGATGTTGATGCATTTAAGAAGTCTCATTTCTTCTTCATATTGAGTTGGTTGATTGAGTGAATTAGTGATCTTAGGACCCTGGAATTGTGTGGTGTTGTGGACTCTCTGCCTGTCATGGACTCTTGTATCATGTTTTGAAAATAACAGGTGCTCGAAAATGTGCTTCAAAATAAACGTCTCCCGTGCGAATAGGGCGAAAGTGTGTAAGGGGAGACGGGAATTCGTTCCCAATTTCCACCTACTACCTCCAGCCCCCTTACATGTCTTTCCCCCGCACGAGGCTCGAGACATCCGCTCCTGGCATGGCCGGTAAGAGCAGGTTGGGACCCTTGAAAAGAAAAAGAAAAGAACAATAACAGAAAACAAGCAAAACAGAAAGAAAAGGGTTCCAACCATCTTCAAAGAAAATCGAGCACCTCGAAAAATGTGAGTCCATGATCCTTTGTTTTTGAGAATCTCTCCATCCACAATTCATTTGTTCTCTGTTCACTGTTTGCCATGATGCCAACTCGATAAGAAGCTTTGAGATGACTTGTGCGTCGGTTGACCTCGTAAGTTGCTAAATGATCTGGGAAGTCCTCTACCTACGATCTGGGTTGTTTGTTGCTATAGAGGTCTGGAGAGCTGCATTGGTTTGAGTTAGGTTTGCTTGGGGACAAGCAAACGGTTAAGTGTGGGGGAGTTTGATAGACCGTTAGTTACACATGCTTTTACCCCTGCTCTTACTCTGTTTGAGGTATTGATTCTCGTGTTTTAGGCCGATTTCACGCTAGGTGGTGCTTGTTTATGATATTTCAGGTCCTAGTACGTGAATGGAGGCTTGGGAGCGAGTTTGATGTCGATTGGACGCGGATCGGACGCATGGCGAGATTCCAAGGAGGCTGCACGGCCAGACCAGGGAGTCGCACGGCCGTGCAGTATACAATTATGGCCGTGCGACATTATGCGAGAAGACGCACGGGCAGAGCAGAAAACCCGCACGGCCGTGCATGTAACCAGTCTGGCCGTGCGGGATTGTGCGAGAGCTTGCACGGGCACAAGTGAAATCCGCACGGCCGTGCGAAGTGCAATCCTGGCCGTGCGAGAAGCCCGAGGTTCAACTTATTGATACGCCGCGTTTTGAGGTGCACGGCCAGAATGGTGAGGTGCACGGCCGTGCACCCTGGCCGTGCGAGTCGGGATTTTCTCCTTTTAAGCAGAATTTCAGCCACAATTCGGGGGGATTCGAGTTTTTGAGAGAGAGATCAGTTCCTAGAGAGAGAAAGTGACGAGCAAGAGTTCCCAAGTGCCCTAGATTGATCTTCAACACCATTGGAGGCCAGCTTGAGCTTGGAGAAGTGCCAATCAACGTCCAGAAGCAGGAATCCATCCTTTGCAGTATGAATTCCGTGTCTGATTCTGCTTTTGCTTTCTTCTCCATGGAGTAGTTCTCCCATTCATCTGGGTATGGAGAACCCTAGATTTGTATGTTAGGCTTTGATTGTATGAACCCAAGTACTGATTCTGTGATTGATTATATTCGATTGAGGTTTTAATGATTGAATGACTTGAATCCTGATCAAATTCCTGTTGTTTCTGCTTTAACCTAGAATGAGAATATCTGCCTAGGTTAATAGAGTATCCTTGATTGAAGGTAGGGAGTTGGTGACTTTAGTCGAGGAGCCAACTCACTATTCTGTACCGGATTTACTCCGGTAGTGGAGGTTTTGTTCTTAGGGCCTCAATCTGTCGACTCCGGTGGAGGTTAGTCGCCCGCTAGAGAGTCAGATTGAGAGGGTCTGAAGACCTTTAGTCAAGACTTCAGGCTGTTTAAGAACCTTCCGCAGTATAACTGTCATAGAAACTGAACTTGGTAATTACAATCCGGCTTAACTGCAGTCTAGGGGGAACCATATCCGGGTGACCTCTTTAACCTGAATACAACCAGTTTACTTGCTTTGTTTGTTTGGTAGTTTAGACTTGCACTCCAGTTTTATTGCTAGATAACAAGAAATCACTGAGTAGTCAGCAAATCTAGGACCCGGGTTGACATATAAACCTAAACCCGCTATACTACGCTTTAGGGAGTGGTTGCACTTGGCCAGTTCCTAGGGTGACAGTAGAGTCGAGTCAGATAGAACTCAAAATTGGAGGTCTAGGCCTTAGGGCAATCCGCTAATTAGTTGGTATCATATGGTATATCATCATATTACACTAATTCTACAAATTAAAATTCAAAATCCGACACCTTAAGACTAGTTTTTGAGTTGGGTGCATTGAACGCACTCATTTTTGTGAGTGCACCGAAGTAGTCACCATATATATATATATTGCTACCCACACCCAACCCACTATCCATAAATTGTGGGTATGGGTATCCACAAAGTGTGCGGGTTACCCGCATCCCACAAACCAAACTTCCACCGCTAGTTTTAGGTTACCATTTGCTTTTTCAAAGTAATTTTGCAAATAAGTTGTTAGTCAACTTGGGTTTGCTTAAGTATGCAGATCATCATGGAACGATTCACCGACAGTAGTCTATCACATTGTAGCAGGAAATTCTGTGACAGGGAGAGTTTGTAGGCTGATTTGGTGCATGATTGTGAGTAATTACATTTGGCTGAAAACGTGTAGACGCCTCCATGAAGAGGCTAAAAGAGAAGCGTGGAGGAGGATTCTCACAAGTTACATTTCGAAACAATTGAAACATAACAATAAAATCTCTATAGCTTGGTTGGTCAGATAGATTGTCAAAAAAAAAATTGGTTGGTCAGATAGTTTAATAACTAATCTAGTAGAATCTAGTTAGAGATAACAAATTAAAAAAAAAGAAACGATTGATCATTTACAATATTAATTTTTTTTCTTCATTTGATGAATAATCATCTACAATCTTTGTTGGCCACATCTGAGGTTTCCACTTGCCATTCTTTACGTGGGTCAGTATACCTTTCAAATTATCTATGCTTCCAAAAAATTGAGAAAGAAAGCAAAAATAAAAAAAAGAAAGAAATCTGGTGAATGATAATGATGACGAGTCACAATATCACAGTTGCAGAGAAAGCAACAGAAAGGAAGAGCAGAGAGCAAGCAATCGCAGCCGTTGAGAGGAACCGAGCCAAGCAACGCCAACGGCACGATTGGTGGAAATATCGGACTCGGACAAAGATCCGACGGTGAAGTTGGGGTTGGAGCCATAGAGCGCCTGAACGCCCCGTATGTCGTCGAGGCTGAGCTCCACTTTCCTCTTCCTGGGCTTCAAGCTCGGAAACATCACGGCATCCCGGGCCCACGAGTGGGCCAGGCCCAACACGTGTCCAATTTCATGGACCGCCACCGATTCCAAGTCAACAGCAACCTTTGACTTCTCCGCTCGAAAATCCACGGCCCACCTCTCCGCCGCGTCGAGGTGGAACCGCCCGCTCTCCGGCGAGAAAGAGTGGGCCAGCACCCCCAGGACGCCGTCGAAGGGCTCCCCGTCGCCGTGGTCCCCGCTGTAGAACCCGATTTTGATGTCGGCGTAGCCGTACTCCTCCGCCTCCGCGAAGCTCACCGGGATCACCGCGCTCCAGCGCCCGAAGGCGCGGCGGAAGGATTGACGGACGTCGGACGGGGAGAGGTAGTCGATCGTGTTGTCCGGCGAGAACGCATACGAAAGCCTCGCCGGGGCCTCCTGCCTCCGCCACCGCGGCTTCCCGGGGAAGTACTCGAAGTTTCTGGATGAGCTGAGTGATGATTGTTCTCCATCTCCGCACCTGAACACCACGCGGCTGGAATTGGTTTTTGATTTTGGCGATGGCCTAGAGGCGAGACATGGCGGGAGGAAGGAAGAAGTGAAGGGCAGGTGAAGGAAGAAGAAGAAGAAGAGAAGCATGGCCTTTTCTTTTGGGGTCGTTTCCTTTTTGAGCGGGAGATGCGGGAGATTGGACTCTTTGTTTTCCAGTTTACTGCGAAGGATGGGATGAAGCTTTATTAGAAAGCAAGCGATCCACTCAAAAAAGAAAGAATGGAAAAAAAAGGGGAAGTGGTAGTTTTCAATATAATGGATTAGGTTCCTCTCCTACCTTTCTTTTTCGGCTTTTCTAAGCGAGTAATTTGCATTGCTTACGAAATCCTTCAATCAATAATACATTTATTTAGTATTATTATTATTATTATAAAATAAATAACAGATGATATCATTTATAACATTCTTTTTAGGGTGCGTCTATAGTGACATGCGTACCCTAAAAAGGGGTGTTATAAAAGTGTAAGTTACGGTGACATGCATGTCATTATAGGTGCGCCCTAAAAAGGGTGTTATAAACGATATCATCTGTTATTGATTTTATTATAATTATAATACTAAATAAATGTATTCGACTTAATATGTTGTTTCAGTGTAAAAACAGTTTCATATTGACTACTTTGGAGATTCATATCTTACAATTGGCTCGATGAAAATTGGAGATTAATAACTTATTTTGAAGCTGGAGTGTCCATCTACACATTGAAGTGCTTGGGAGCTCGATAGGAAGTCCAAAATACCATTTTCGAACCTGATCAAAAGGCTATACCAAAACTGGGAAACTGCCTGAAAATGGCCAAGTCTGGGAAAGTGTTTGTGAAGCCTACTTTGGAGCTCAATTCTATAAGCATTGATGAGATTCGAGTTCAGGGGCCTCTACCACATGAAAGTAGGTATGTTTGTCTACAAAGTTAAGGCATTGGATGAAATATTGGATATCTGGAAGGCTTCAAACCAAAGGTTTGAAGTTGCTACGAATTAAGTTGCTTTCTAGTACAAGACTGAAACGACAGATTAGGTCGACCTAATCCTAGATGAGGTCGACCTAAAAGTGCAAGTTAACAAAGTCCAACTTTTTATATTACATGTCAATTTTAAACATTAACAATTATTCAACGCATAATTTTCATAATATTTGTGTAACATATTAGCTATGATGATAGGTGATAAACGTTGTTTACAATTGGATCAACTAGTACATTATAATAAGGCTATCCATAGACTGATTTGGTTGTTTCTATTTTACTATCGAAAAACGAAATAGGATAATAATTGATAATTTATTAGCTCATAGTGGTTAGGAACTAGGAGTTTAAAATGATGAGTGGTTTGCTTCCTATCTTTACCAAAAGAGGACCGAGAAGTGAGAAGCTAGGTTACGCATATGAGAAAGTGAAGTCACCACTCACCATGATAGGTTTATGTCGACTTCCAAAGCAAGAATCAAAACCACATGAAGAGAAAGTCAGTAAAGAGCCCAGTAGTAACCAACAATTTAACTAATAACTATGATTGCGAATTAGAGACACAGATCAACTTCACTAAATTGGTTAAGAATAGGATGAGTAATCTTATGTTGCATAACCTGCATAACTTGCATAACAACATATCATTTCTTCATTTTAAGTGGATCCTAGATGGAAATTAAAGATTTTTTAAAGTTTCTCTAGTTTTATCAATTAGCTTATCTTCTTCCTTTTAATTTGAATTTAAAAAATTTGTGTAGATGGAGTGAGTTTGTTGTGATCTACAAAATGAGATCCATTTTCAATATATTTTTAGAAAAAAAATTTCATATACCAACTCAATACCATATGGTACACATTCGTTTTTAAGTCGTTTTTTAAAATATTTGCACGGAAGGAACAAGTTCATCATAATCTATTGGATCTACAAATTTATTGGGAAAAAAATACAGGACCAAAAAATACCACCTCATACAACCCTGATATATGGTTGGTATCTTGTGGTACACAATGCTGAAAGTCGTAAATGACAGTTAGTATATTCATACTATTGTGTATTTAACTGTAATACACTTTCATACCATATGATATGCTCTTATTTAATATTAATCAATACCATATGATATAGACTGATAATAAATGTCTCAATTTTTTTGGTTCCAAAAATATATAAAATTGGATTTCATTTTGAAGAGCACAATAAATATGATTTATCTATGCAAAAAATTTAAATTACAACTTAAAATAAGAGAGTAATCATTCATTAAAAAATAAAAGGGAAAATGTTAGAGGCCTTCCATAAATGGTATGTGGCGCTGATGTGGTAGGTTGTGCACTGTTACTGACCAAAAGGTTGTACATGGGATCTAGATAGGGGTGGCAACAGGGCGGATCTGGGACGGGTAATTATCTCCCGTTATCCATTTGTCAAGGGCTCAAGGCTGACAGATTTCCCCGTCCCTGCAGGCTAAAAGCTGGGAATCTGCTTACCGTCCTCGTTCCCAACCGGATCCGGGTAACCTGCGGATCACCACGGATCCTGATAACAAAAAAGTACAGAAGAAAAAACCTGAAAAATGACTAAAACACTCAAATTTCTAAAATTCGAAGTAGCTTGTTGTTCAAGCCACAGAATCCAAAACAAAAAAAAGGAGATCTGGGGTTGTAACCCATATCCCACCCCCAACTCTCAGATCTTCATAGTTCAAACAAAAGTGATAGATTGCAGCAAGCAAACAAGCTCCTGCAACCAATTTCCCACCATCCAAAACCATACAACATGTTCATCACTACATCTACTGACTAGTATTCAGATTCAAAAAGAAGAGAATGAAAAACGAAGGCAATCAACCCCAATACCATCATCCAGAAATTAAACTAAAACCTAAACTAAATGTACTGCCTACTCCGTGATTATCTATTACCTAGCAGGAAAATTGAGTGAAGTAATAAACGAAAAGCAGGAAACGGTTGTATTCAGATTAAGAAGGCTCGCTCAGGTATGAGTCCCCCTAGATTGCAGTTAGGCGAAGTTGTAATTCACCCAAGTCATGTTGATTGAGGTTTAAACTGCGGAAAGTTCATAAATAGTCTGGAGTCTAGACTAAAGTACTTCAAGCCCTCTCAGTTTGAATACCTAGGAAGGGACTAACCTCTACCGGCGTAAGCTAACCGAGGCAATAAGATTCAAATATCCTATAATGGGTTCTATCCCAGTACAGAGCAGTGAATCGACTTCTCGGCTAAAGTCGTCAATTCACTAATTCCAATTTAAGATGCTCTATTGACCTATGCAAAGATTATCTTTCTAGGTCAAAGCAGGGATCACTAGAATTTGATCAAGACTCAAGCAGTTCTTAATAAGTACTTCAACTAGATATAAATCAATCGATCATTCATGGCAAAGGGTTCATACAACTATTCCTAATATACAATCTAGGGTTCTTACATACCCAAGTGATAGGGCAGATTACTCCAAAGAGAGAAAGAGAGGAAAGCTAAGCTGGATGTAGAAATTGTAACATCCCGTTCTGGCAAAACCCATAATTCGATCGCTAGAAAGTTCGCGATTTAAAATCGAGCATTTCGACACTATTTCGGCGAAAATCGGATTATCGATCGATCGGATAAGTATACGTATTAATTATATATATTATATAAAAAGCGGACGGGGCGTATATAAACAATTCCCCGTCCATTTTCAATTCTCATCAACATCACTTTTCTCATTTTCCACCGAGAGAGAAACAGAGCAAGCGAAAGTGTAGGGGAACGTCGGGGGAAAATCCTCAGAGCTCAATTCTTGAGCTACAGTGATCCAAAAATCCCGTAAGTAATGCCTAATTCAACCATACATCGTGATTTATCGATTTAGAGCTTTAAAACGAGTTTTTGGTTCAGGAATTTCTTGAATTCCCGATAAGCCAAATTAGGGTTTCGGAGTATCCGGAAGCCGGATTGAGCCCAAATTTCATATACGAGCTTCCTGCAGCGAGGTAATCAATCCCCTAGTTCTAATCCCTGAATTTCGGCTATTATTTAGATCGGAGCCGGGATCGCTGAATTTAGCTCCGGCCAGGGTTTGATGTGTTTTTATCGAGAATTTGACCCGGAGCCTAGAACTAATATTGACGGGGATACTGCAGGGGATATTAGGACGGTCTCGGATTTTAATTCGGGGTTCATTCGAGAAATTGACGTTTTAGTACGGGAAGGTTAAACCGGTGTTTGAACGACCAGAACTGGTGAGGGATTAGCACGACATACCGGGTTTGTCGTATCACGATAATTATATTGATGCTTAGAATTGACCTAGGTGAACTAGAATGGCATGATTAGGGGTGTATGAACTTTTGTGCTATATGTTGAACCCTAGACTGCTGTATGATATTATTGACTTGTCCTAATCGATATGGACCTTGTTTATGCTGATGATTGCATACATGTTGCCATTTGTGGCTTAACTGTTGATATGACTTCATGGTTGTTCGATCAGGTGTTTTGACATGATGTGATATTGTGGTTCTATTTGGATTCACAAGTGGGGGAAATAAACTTCCCAGGTTGATATTATGATTTTTAAGGAGGATGACTTGCACGAGGGTTTATCCCGAGGAAGTGCAATTATACGACTCCTAATTTACCTATGTTGAGCCAATTATGGCTAGGTCAAGTACATGTGCAAGTAATGAATTATGATTAAGCAAGATGAGATATGAATCATGTATAAGGATACCAAATATGAGTGTTGTGGTCTCACGGTCAACTACATAGTAATTAGGGCTCCCTATGCTATTACTCTATTATGATATGTATGATAGTCACACCTCTCATGTGGTGGTGACTGAAGAATTCTCACGAGATATGACCACACCCAGAGTGGTGTCGGGGTATGACTACACCCATAGTGGTGTGGGGTATGTATGACCACATCCGACGGGATGTTGGGGTATGTATGACTACATCCGACGGGATGTGGGGTATGTTTCCCGAGAGAGTTATTAGCATGGGAGTAGCCAGGCGCCTATGAGTAAAACATAATAAGATGCATATGCATAAGTCAAGGTGGTTGAGTCTTTTGCCTATTGGGATATGAGGATGGCTGAGGTCCGATCCTAGTGTTTTGGCTTGATTGTTAGATGTATGATAGGAGTATGATCTGTTATGAACTCACGATGCTATGATTATCTCACTCAGCTATGAGCTGACCCTCTTTTATTCTTCTTCTCTGCTTATGCTATGTGTAAGCAGATCATCAGCAGCAGCAGTAGATAAGTGTTAGGTGGGAGAGGAGCTAGAGTTGAAGCCAGGATGAGGTATGGTCTTCAACTATTCTGTGCTTGGACTACTACTCGGGATTTTGGCCAGTGATCCACACCTTTTTGTAAAAATGTTTTGAGAACGTTTTTCATGTGCATACTAGC